AATCGATACGAAAACATCAAAAGACAAAATATGACGTCATTCATGGTTCATTTCGATTTGATTTGCATTACGCACTTACACCCTTTTAACCATAACAATTTGCAAGTCAACGTATTTCATGCCATTTTTTACTTCGAAGGCAAGAATTTCATCATAACCACTTTTTGATTGATTCTTGAACTAACCCACGTTAACTCAATTAACGATCTAGTTCAGCAGCGAGATTTACTTCTCGCTAAAGAATAACTTTTTCTTCGTTCTAGTTCAGCTTGATGAAATTCTCCACTGACTTGCAAATAACCACCCCCATAGTTCAGCATAAGGATTACTGATCCTTACAAAATCAAGATGTTTTAACGAGTACTTTCTTTTCTCGAATAACTAGTTCAACTAGTCATACGTTTTGGCATATTGAATTACTTGAATCAATAACCATATAACAGGCCAAAACGATTCTGCGTGACATCAAAGTAACCATTCACGTAGACAATTTCGAGAACTTTCGAACTAAAACTCGTTAACTCATACTTGATTGAAATAGTTCAGCTATAACAAATAGTTCAGCTAACATAACAAGAAATGGGCTCTTTTTCAACGTGTTCCCTTATAGGAACTCGTAATCGACGAAATGACTGAAGAAGAGCGGCAAGAACTCCTGGTAGCTCAGGCAAAAAAGACCTTCCAAAGTGGCGGGTTTGAAAAAGGCAACCCTCCTGATCCAGTGAAGTACCCTCTTCTCAACGGACCATTGTATCGAAATCTACCTCACGAGGCACCCGTCGAAAGTTCCCAAAAAGAACTTTCCGGGATAGTTCGTTGCAGAGAGACCCTTGCATCTTCTGCGCAGACTTCGAGCACTACAGTTCGGACTGCCCAGAAGTCAAGGAGCTCAGTAAAAGAGCCGATTTCGTAGTTCAGCACCGTATCTGTAGTAATTGTATTAAAAGCCACTACAGTACGTGTATCCGTAGGGACCCATGTTCGCTCTGTGGTGAAGAAGGGCACCATAGAACTTTCTGTTTCAAAAATCCCTTCATAATCCAAGATATCACTGGCATGTGGCCCTGCGATTTCTATAGTTCATTAGCCTATAGGACCTACACACATCCTCCCCAAGGGCACCCAGGTACCGCATTTACAGTCGGGCCTACAAGGACCTAACTTTCTCCAGGCGGTCACCAACCCCTCCGGAGCATAGTCCAGAGTCCTTGAGACCCAGGCCACCGTACCTGAGCTAAGCCAGGGAGTGAAGACAAGTGTCCTGGCACAAGGCTAAAGGTAAGTAAATAGTTCAGCACTAGTAGAGCATAGCTCCTAGCTAAAGTTCAGCCTTTAACAGCTTTTAAATTTCATTTATTCACTCACTTACTAATAACAGTTTTAAGTATTTATAACCTTAATTCAGGTTCAGGATAATTCAGCACGTATGGATTCCCGCACCACATTAAGGAGATTTATATTATAATCTTGCAGTTCATTAGTTCATTATTGATTTATGACATGTGTTTACTCACCACTTACTAACCAACTTAAACAGTTTTTTACGTTGCCATGTTATTATTCCATGCAACTAACACCAAATCATGACAACATTCGTACTAACATGTAAGGAAAATCACAGTGTCACTAACAGTACCGCCGAGCCGGTCATGTCAACCTACAACATTTTCTCACATTTTTGCCCACGGGTTAGTGCAGCAAACCAACACTACGCCTTCATATGACAGGCTTACGCCCAAGCGAATTCCTTTTTCGAGGCGGGAGTGTCGCGAATCGCGAGATCGCTCCCCAAGGTTTTCCCCCGGGCGTGTTGGTTCCTACCGTAGTCAGCCACCTTGACCACCTGCCTTTGCTCTATACATCGATTATGCGGGAAACCGCGGCCACCAAGTGGCATCATCGATGATGGCATCGCCAGTCGACTTTCTACAACAACGTCTGTGCGGTTGCCTAGCCCGTAGCCTTGCTACCGGCTTCCACTTCGTCAGTATGCACGTCTCTCCCTGCCGGCCCCACTTACTAGTACAG